ACTCTGGGACAGCGTGTCTGCGGGGCCGAGTGGAGGGAGGACCCGGGGCACCAGACCTGCCTCCTGGGCCGGCCACTGGGCCGAGGTCTGGGCCCTCCCGTGGGTACTGCAGTGCAGAGATGGAGGGGCCTGACTTCGGGGGACAGTCCGACTGGCCCCTTCCTTTCCACCCACCAGCCCGGAGGAAGCTGCGTCCGGGCGGGAGGGACCTAATTCTCCAAAATAGCGAAGTTTCTAGAACTCTGCAGAGGGACCCCGGGCCTCCCATGACTCACCCTGGCCGCTGGGATCCGTGCGGCACCCTCTTGTCCTGTCCACTCCCCCCCCCCCCCCCCCCCCCCCCCCACCCTCTTGTCCTGTCCACTCCCCCCACCCCCCCCCCCCCGCGCTCCAAGCAGCCGGCCACACTGTTGACCTGGGTGACGGCCGGGTAGGTGGGAGCCTGGTGCTCCTTGTCTTGTCCTGCTGGGACCAGAGGGGCTCGGACAGTGGCGGGCACCCCCTTTTAGAACAGATCCTGGGGCGCACGGCAGCGTCACCCGGCCCGTCACCCCCAGGAGCTCAGCGAGGTGGCTTTCTCAACCTTGGCTGCACATTAGAATCACCTGGGGATCTTTTTAAAATCCTGATTTCTGGGCCCCATCCTCCGGAAATTCTGTTACTCATGTTCTGGCCCGACCCCATAACAAAGAGAATTTCCGGAGGATGAGGCCCAGAAGTCAGGATTTTAAAAAGATCCCCAGGTGATTCTAATGTGCAGCCAAGGTTGAGAACCGCTGTTCTATGGGCTCCACTGCACCTTTGACTTTTTCTAGTTTCGCGCAGTGAACGTGCTGCTGCACTGACCAGGTGCCCTGCGTGACCTCATCCTGAGCAACACGTGTGTACACGGCTAACACCAGGGAGGAGCCTCGGATGAGAACCAGCTGCACCAGGACGTGGGCCGGGAAGGAAGGGAGCGGCGGGCGGGACACACGGCTTCTGAGGTTCGGGGACCTCGGTGCGGGCGGCGCTGACACCGGGACACCATTCCGGGCCGCGGGCCGCTCTGACGGCTTCTCCCCTCTCCCCCCGGCGAGCGGAGTCCGGGCCACAGTCTCCCCTGAGGACGTCAGAACTGGGGGGTTCCTGCCCCAAACCAATGCTCATGTGCAGTGCCCCCAAAGCGACAGGACACCGTGTCCTTGTCCGTGGCCTCAGGCGTGCGGAGAGGACATCACTGACACGGGGTCCGGCCCTGCCTCTAGGAGGGTCCGTCGGTTGGGCTCCAGGTCTTTGTGTCCCACCGGATTTGGGGGAGAGAGGACGAGGGAGGCTGGGGAAGCTGGGGTCCCCCAGGATCTTAGGGTCTCTCATTCCCCAAGCAACCCCTACGGGAGGGTGGAGACCTGGCCGAGGCGGGCCTGCTATCCCGCTGCCCTGCCTGTTTCCCAACTGTCCCCCGAGGGTTGCATATGCAACAGCCTCAGCCCAGCTCAGCGTGGACACGGGCAGGGCTCCCATGCGGCAGGGCTCCCATGCGGCAGGGGAGGGGCGCACGAGCCTCCGTGGACACGGGTGGACCCAGGCAGATCCCACGGAGACAATTACGCGTGGCCCGCAGTTGAGCGCGCACGTGACTCCGCCTCGCTGCGCGCATGCACCATCCCAATGGCGTCTCTTTCCCCCTCCTTCCTCCATGGCAACACAGCTCCGGCTGGTCCCCAGTGTCCGGGTCCAGGCCACCTGCTCTGTACCCCCTCACCTGGGGGCATCCTGGGCAGGCCTCCCTGCTACGGAGCCGCGTTCTGTAAACACTGGGGGGGGGGGGTATTATTTGCTGACTCATGCACCCGCTTTTCTGTTGCAGGAGGCGGGTGCTGACCACGTGGCCGGCCTCTTGAGGGAGCTTTCTGTTCTGCTGTTGGGCGGGTACAGGTCAGAGGGCTTTGAGGGTCACTTGTGTGTCCAGTTGGGCAGTGTCAACCCAGGCTTCGCCCAGAGCCCTTGGGCAGTGCCCACGGGGCCCAGTGTGCTGGGCTGCTCTGGTGGACGGGCCCTGGCGGCGGGCACCCTCTGGCTCCACGCTTCTGAGCCCGTAGGTCCCGGGGATTCTACAGGGACAGGGGTGTGGAGAGCGGCTACAGGTTCGGACAGGTTCAAGCCTGGGACCAGTGAGAGGGCAGGTCCTCTCGTGGCAAAGCCACGGGCAAGTCCCAGCACAGTGATGGCCAAAGGCTGTAGTTGTGAGCTTGCCCTTATGGTCCGCACCTGTGGGCCCACGTGGCTGAGTGACGTGGGCTGCGGAGGTGCAGCAAGTAAACAAAGCTTGACCAGGTGCATGTAATTGAGTGGATTCGAAACCCAGGAATTGTAACCACGCCCTTACTGTGCCTCGTGGAATCTGCTATAAAATAAAGACTCGGCTGGCAGGCGTGGCGCTGTCTCTCCATCCGAGAGGACGGCGTCCCACCCAGACCCAGCTTTCTCCTCTTGTCTGTCTCTCCTCCATCCTTCACCGCCTGCCCTCAGGGTCACCAAACCTGGCTGTGCACGCTGCCCACACCTGCACTCACTCCTTCAGACCCATTCCCGCCACACGCAGATGGCACAGCTAGCCTGGCGAAACCATCACCCGTGTCACGACACGTGTCCTTGAGCCACATTTAATATTCCAGACCCGGTGCAGCCGTCCTGTGTCCGACCCAGAACACACTGTCCGGAGGAGGCTGCAGGGTCCAGCGGCGCTCACACCCTTGGGCAGCCTGTCGCTTAGGCACTTGTGTGACGTTAACTGTCGTTGACGCCTCTTAGGGTTTGTGCTCGGAGATAAGGTCAGGGAGGGAAGAAGGAAATTCAGTCTCACACATGTGCGCTCGCGCGCACGCACACACACACACGTGCACAGCTACAGTTTGGGAAGGCGCCGAGTGGGCCGGGCTGGCAGAGGTGGGCACGGAGCAGCCGCTGTGGGCGACCCTGTCCCAGACCCTGCTGCTCACTCCCCGGCAGACGGGCCGCACCTGGGGTAGGTGCTGACCCCCAGGAGGCAGGCAGGACAGAGGGCCCGCCCAGCCCAGGGACACAAGTGCGGCCAGGGG